ATAGTGGACAATCCTACCAACCAGGTGCGGTACAAGGGCCTCTGTGAGCATGGGTTATACACACTTCCTTCCAAACTCCCAACCGTTGCGTATCAAGCTATCCAAGAGTCCACTTGGCATCGTAGACTCGGTCATCCAGCTCCTGCGATTGCCAAATCTATTTTGTCTTCCTTAGGTTTTCAGTTTTCAGAGCCTTTACATTGTGAATCATGTTATGTCTCTAAGTCCTGTCGTTTACCTTTTGAATTGTCTGAACATAAGGCCACAGCACCCTTTCAATTAATACATTCTGATGTTTGGGGTCCCACCTTTGTTCCTTCCTGTAGCGGTTTTCGATTTTATATCTCTTTTGTTGATGATTTCAGCAAATTTACCTGGATTTATCCCCTAAAACATAAATCTGAAGCTTACTCTGTTTTTGTGAATTTTGAAAAAATGATTAAAACTCAGTTTAATTCTCACATCAAAAGTTTTCGAAGTGATAATGGCAAAGAATTTGTAAATAACGCTTTTGGCCTTTTCCTTCAAACTTTAGGAGTCCTTCATCACACCTCTTGTCCCTACACTCCTGAGCAAAATGGGGTCGCTGAACGGAAACACCGTCATCTCATTGAAACGGTTGTTTCTCTTCTATATGACTCTGCTCTCCCGACTACCTTTTGGGTCGAAGCTCTTGCCACAACAAACTATCTTATCAACCGTATGCCCACCAAAACTCTCTCCAACAAATCTCCCTTTGAAACTCTTTATAATCGTCCTCCTACATATACCCACCTTCGTGCCTTTGATTGCTTGGTCTATCCATGGTTCCGCCCTTACACTCACCACAAACTTCAACCACGCTCCACTCCTTGTGTCTTCTTAGGATATCACCCCACCACTAAAGGGTATAAATGCTATGAACCCATGTCTCAAAAAGTTTATGTCTCTCATCATGTTCGGTTCGTCGAGGATCAGTTTCCATATCCCAAATTGTCATCCCTCCCGTCACCCTCTCCTATAACCCCTATTTTTCCTCCAAGCCCAGGCTCACATGCTNGCTCTTCTACTCTCATCTCAGAAGTTACTCAGGCCATGCACCGTGACTTCAAGCTCAAAGAACTTGGACCTCTTCATTACTTCCTTGGCATTGAGGTTCAGCGCACGCAAGATTCTATACTTCTCCATCAATCCAAATATGCCCGTGATCTTCTACGCCGAGCTGGGATGTCCGACTGTCATCCGGCTATTACTCCTATGGCTACGAGACCTATCACTAAGCCTTCGTTGTCTTTCAAGGATATTTCTCATTTTCGGAGCATTGTTGGCGGTTTACATTACTTGGCTGTAACTCGTCCAGACATTCAGTATGCTGTTAATCGAGTGTCTCAGACTATGCACAACCCCACTGAGCAGGACTATCATGCCTTGCAACGCGTTCTGCGCTATCTCAAAGGCACTTTGAATCATGGTCTTCTTTTTCGCAAGGGGGGCTTCGACCTATCTGTCTACTCTGACTCTGACTGGGCCAATGATAAAGATGATTGCAAGTCTACCACGGGCTACATACTCCTACTCGGTCCTAATATCATCTCTTGGTGCACGAAAAAGCAGACTCGTGTTTCTAGATCATCCACTGAAGCTGAATATCGAGCTATGGCTGCAGGGGTTGCAGAAGCTATGTGGCTTCGATATATCACTGATGCACTGGGTATTCCTCCATCCAAACCGAAGTTATACTGTGACAATGAGTCGACTATCTGTGTCACCAAAAATCCGGTTCTTCATGATCGCATGAAGCATGTGGGCACAGACTGTCACTTTGTACGAGATGAGGTTATGGTAGGCACTATGACTCCACATCATGTTTCCTCCTTAGAGCAGCTAGCAGACATTCTTACCAAACCGCTTCCGCCAGTTCCTTTTGAGTACTTATGTTCCAAGCTGCCCCTCGTCTCCGTTGATCAGCTTGCGGGGGGATATTAGAAGTATAATTAAATTAGGATACTTCTTTCCTTTCCTACTAGGATTATTCTTTACTTTCCTACTTGTACTTTGATTACTCTTGTATTCCCTATATATAGGGTCATATATCTCAATATTCAATAAGACAAGTTATTATCAAATTGTATCATATATATTACATGAAGCCATGATATTTCAGAATATATATATATATATATATATATATATATATATATATATATAGACACACACACACATATATTACATCATACCAAATATTAGTTTACATTTGAAAGTTGTATTAGTGACTTATCGTTGTATTACACCCTCCGTTTTTTAAAACACTTTCGCCCTAATTTTTTCGCACTCCGTGAAATATTTTTACTCTACTTAAAATGTTTAAAATACCTCCAAAACAAATCCTACCCGCGCGCAATAAACTACCTAACGGGATTCATTTTAGATGGTAGTAAAAGTATTTCATGGGGTGCGTAAAAAATTAGGACGGAAATATTTTCCACAAGGGGAGTACTTATGAGTTGTTTTTATGAGTTTGTTTCATGTCGTTTATCGTTGCATTAAATTCTCTCCGAGCATCGCACATGTTAGAATAAATGGAGTATTGTTTTAGAACATGGCTTAGGCTCCGTTCTGTTCAACTTATTTTTTTTTGATCTGATCTGATTTTAATAAGTTCTGATCTGATCTGATTAGATCTGATCTGATTGGATCTGATCTGATCTGGTCTGATCTGATTGGATCCAATCTGATCTAATCTGATTGGATCTGATCTGGTCTAATTAATTATGATTTGATTTAAAATTCAAATTAATAATTTGATTTGACTTTATAATAACGTTTGAAAATTGTAGTGATAATTCATATTTTAATATAATCAATATTTTTTATTTTATGAATAATTTTTAATAAAATAGAATTAGTTAATTCATATATTAGAATAATCATTAATATTATAATGCAATAATATTTTTATTTTATGATTATTTTTTGTGAAATTGTAATATTAATTTAATATTTTAATAATTACTTCATATATACATTAGAATAAATATTTAATTTATATATACATTAAAAAGTAATTAAATTTAGATAATAAATATGTATATAAGAGATATTATTTTTATTAAAATATCTCATCCTTACAAAAGATCAAAACTTTAGAAACTCAAATGACAGATAGTTATAAAAATGTATTTTAATAGTAAAAATTAGATTCACATTGTTAATGTATTTTAAAAATAATTTTCCGACGTTTAATAATTAATGATTACTTTCTCAGTTTTATGTTTAGCTTCTTTCTAAAGTTTATTCTTTTTCATTTTTCATTTTTAATAATAATAATAATAATAATAATAATAATTCTTGATGGGATTTGATCTGGTCTAATCTAATCTGATTTTAATAAAAATAAAAAAAAATGAGAAAAAATAAGTTGAACGGAACCGGGCTTTACTCAGTCAATGAGGGTGTGTGTAAGTCGAAAGAAGCGGTAGACTGGCGGATTTTGTCCATGTGAAGACTGAAGAGGACAAGTGAAAGGGAGAAGACGGAAACGGAAACGGAAACGCCACTCCTCCTAAACTTCCATCTCTCTCTCTCTCTCTCATCACTTCCTGAATTGGTCTCTTCTCTCTCTCTTTCTTCACTTCCAGAATTGGTCAGAGATTCCTACCAAAGAGGTCTAGTGCGTACTCGCTAACGTACGCGTTTTCAACGCCAGTCCACCATTTCAGATCAGCAGCTCCTTTTAACCCCCCCCCCCCCTTTTATTTCCTGCCGCCGGTGTCTGATCCCAAGTCTCGCCGCCGGATTTCCCTTCAATCGAACTATGTGAGACTTCTCAAAACGCTTTCCTTGGTTTCTTTTACTTTCTTCTTTTGTTTTTGTTTTTAATTAAAGAAATTTTCTAGAATTTGCTTTGATTATTAGAGACCGCGCTGCTTATGGGTAAACTGTAATCTGTTTTGCTGTTTTTAAATTAAATTTTGCTCTTTTTCTCTTCATTCCGATGAATGTTCTTTAAATAATTAAATGTGATTCTTGCTCAATTTCTCTCAAAAATGCGTATGTGTTGGAATTATTGCTTAATTTTATGCTTATTTATCTGAAAATGCATTTCAACTCTATGTAGTTTCTGCATTTGTTGGGTATAGTGTTGCACACTAATTAGTAATCCGTTTTCGACACTTGGTTTTATTTCACTGGAATCAAGCGAAACCAAGATGTTTACCAATAGTTTTTAGGAAACTTTTTCACGAAGCTGTCCTCCCTATATGTCCCTTCTACTCTGCCATTCTGCAAGTGGGATTTGGATTTCTTTCCTGAAAGGGTCTGTCCGTGTGAAGCATTAAGGAATGCTGATTGTGTCTTGTGATTGTTATTGACCAATGCAGATTATTTACAAGGGCAAGATAACAAGGAATAGAACCATGAGTTGCTTTGGGTGTTGCGAGAATGAAGATGACATGAAAAGGATTCCTGATAATGGAAATTACATGCCACATAGCTCAGCAGGTCTGTCTCCTTCTTCATGCTCTCAGGGTCCATTTGGAACCCAGCAAATACAGAGAAAGAAAATTGAGAGAATATATGGACTAAATTGTAAGGGAAGAAAATTCTAAGGAAAATACTAGCACTATGTTTGGTTCAAGGAATTTAGGAGGAAAAGAAAATAAAGTGGTTTTCCCTCAGTTTCCTCACCAAAATGGGAGGAATTTGGTTTTCCATTCTCCTAGTACATTTTTCCTTCTCATTTTCTTTTCCTTCCACTTTTCTTTTCTTTTCCTCTCTAACCAAACAAGAAAATTGTTTTCCTTCTCATTTTCTTTTCCTTTCCCTAGCATTTTCAGTGCTCCAAACACACACCTTCTTTTACAATTTTGTTGCACACTCTTCAACAATTAAGTTTTAGAGCATCAAGATTGAATAGATTTAATACCATATATCAGAATAAGAATCATGTCATTAGTTCTCACTTCTATGTTGAACAATTCTATGTTCTTGGTTGTTCTACTTGATTTTAAGTAGAGCACATGAAGTGTTAAATGAAAAAAAAAACTTATTGAAAATCAAAGTGCAGGCCCTATAGGTCAACATGCGACTGAAAGTGCACAAAGAGAGACACCGCCGGTGAATGTCCTCCCTATTGATGTCCCCAAGATCTCATTTGATGAGTTGAAAGAAGTCACTGACAATTTTGGCTCAAATGCTTTGATTGGTGAGGGGTCTTATGGAAGGGTATATTATGGTCAACTTAAAATTGGCCGAAATGCAGCCATAAAAAAGCTGGACTCAAGTAAGCAGCCTGATAGAGAGTTTTTAGGACAGGTGAGATATATTTGTTTGAGCCACCAGAATGTTACATTGNNCCCCCCCCCCCCCCCCCCCCCTCTCTCACCTTTGTGCTCAAAATCTTCACTTGAAATGCATGTTGTGTCAGGTTTCCATGGTATCAAGACTTAAACATGAAAATGTGGTTGAGTTACTCGGTTACTCTGTGGATGGTGGTCTTCGTATATTAGCCTATGAGTATGCTCCAAATGGATCGCTTCACGATATTCTCCATGGTAGGTTGTCTCACTTAGTGTTCCTATTTCAAGCTAATTCTACATATGTTTATTATCTTGTGCTGCGAGTATGCTTTAAATGTATAGATGATTTGTAACCTGGAAATTGGGTGATGTTTTACTTACTCTTCAACCCAAAAATAAACTTCACACTTTCCTCATTTTCCTTTTAGTAAAGGAATATGTGGCTTGCAACATTTCCTTTTCTTCTAAACATATTCCAACATTTCACTCTTCAGCTTTTATTTTTGAGACGGAGGCAATATATCATGTGTAATCCATATTTTTATAAGGGCCCGTTTAGTAAGGTTATTTGGTTGAAAGGACTGAGTCTCCTAAATATTAATGAAATGAAAAGTGTTCAGTAAAATCTAACTGAGCTAAATAAGTAATCCAAAGGCTACTTATTAACTGTTATACCTATTCTGCTTATTTTCCTTAATGCAAAGAATAAGCTGAATATTGCTGATTAATGCTACCAAGTGAGGCCTGAATCAATGAGTCCATCTATTGTATGGGAAAAGTTACCATGCACTACAGTAAAACTTATTTGCATCTGTGAGATGATTGAATTGATTGTTCACTACTTCACTTTCTGTTTTAATTAAATATTGGACTTTCAATGAGCATTCCTTGGGGTTATGGAAGTTTACCAGATAACCCTTTTTTTTTAAATTACAAAATAGTGCCTTCACCAGAAAAGCAACATTGGAAGATGGTAGGATGTAATGATATTGGTAGCAATTGCATTTTTTAATACTAAACTACTCTCAATACTATGCATGCAGGTTCCTTTTTAGAGAAAGCTTTGAATATTTTAGCTGATAAAATGCATTTGAATATTTGGGCACCCTTTAATCACATGGGGTACAATGTATTCTGAGTAATCTGGAGGAATCATTTTGGTTCAAATATTCTTGCTGATTTTCCAGTAAAAATGTGTGTGCAGGGCGAAAAGGTGTGAAAGGTGCGCAGCCAGGTCCAGTGCTGACATGGGCCCAAAGAGTGAAGATTGCTGTTGGAGCTGCCAAGGGACTCGAATACTTGCATGAAAAGGCTCAACCTCATATCATTCACCGTGATATAAAATCAAGCAATGTCCTGCTCTTTGATGATGATGTTGCTAAGATTGCAGACTTTGATTTATCAAATCAAGCCCCTGATATGGCAGCACGTCTTCATTCCACCCGTGTTCTCGGGACTTTTGGCTATCATGCACCAGAGTAAGCCACTTCTTTCTGGATCTATTAATCACATAGGAAGCTTTTTTAAGAGCATATTTTGCAGCTCCAGCTTGGTGAGCATTTACAGCTTTGAAAAATAGCACTCTTAGTCTCCATACTGTTTGACATTTGGTATATTGAGACTTGTCTTTTGGATTTTATAAATTTAATCCCTCAAATGCTATACTTGAAATACAGTAGGTTCCTCTTGATAAGATCACTGTTTAATACTCCCATCCCACAAAGATTGGCCTGTTAACTATTTGAGGCTCAAACTTCAATAACTTTATTTCCTTAATTTCATTACTCATTTGATAAAATAATATGTTGTTGACGGCCCTTATTTGTAGACGTTTTGATGTAGTTTTTAAATATATAAATTTTATTTTTTTAAGTTTACCCCATTTCCATATAAATTGAATTGAAATTAAATTTAGTCAAGCATCGTTATTCGTGTGGGCAATTCTTTTTTGGACGGAGGGAGTATTAAGGTTTATGGTTACGTTCTTGGTAATATAGAATGGCTAGAATGCCCCCATAAACCTTTGTATTTAACAGCGTAAGCAGTTATTTTAACAAGAACTAATTCTCCAAATAATAATAATGGAGAGACTAAGCTTACAAAATCGAAAGACAGGTCACAGTTTACATCAATATCAAACCATTGAGAGACCAAAGGTGATATTTTCCTTTACAAATTTACACCATTCTCATTTGTTTGATTTTGAATGGCAGATATGCAATGACTGGTCAATTGAGTTCCAAGAGTGACGTTTATAGCTTTGGTGTCGTTCTTCTTGAACTGCTAACTGGACGTAAACCTGTTGATCCTAGTCTTCCTCGTGGACAGCAGAGTCTTGTAACATGGGTATATATATCTTTTGGTCTTCACATGCATTTTTTAGAAATGAGGTGGTCTCTTAATAAGATGGGGCCAGAATGTAATACTTTAAAAGCTGAGTGACGCTTTTAGAAAAAAACAGTAAGGTCCCACAAGTGAGGTGTGAGCAGGGTGTGTGGGTAAACCTTACCCCTACGTAAAAAGGTAAAGAGACTGTTTCTGAGAAACCTTAGTCTCATGCTTTTAAGAAGTAAAATTGAAAAAAGTATTACTTTCAACTTTTAAAGCATTGTGTTTTGATCCATATCTGACCTTCTCTCATGAGTTTTAGTCCTTATGAAATGGCTTTTTCATGGAATTCCACCACCAATAATTTGTTATTGCTCTTGGAATTGGATTCAGGCCACACCAAGGCTGAGCGAAGATAAAGTAAAGCAGTGTGTTGATGCTAAACTGAAAGATTGCTGCCCTCCAAAGGCCGTTGCGAAGGTACTTGTGTTTATCTTTGCCCATTAACTATAGCATATATTATGATCATGAGGTGGAAGTCAGGATTGACTCTCACCTAGTACCTAAGGTAGACAGGTTTCGATATCTTGGCTTGGTAATCCAGACTGATGGGGAGTTAGATGGGGATGTTGGGCATCGTGTTGGAATGGCTTGAGCCAAATGGCGGTTAGCTTCAGGGGTATTGTGTGATCCGAAGATTTCGGCCAGAATGAAAGGTAAGTTCTATCGATCCGTAGTCAGACCTGCTATGTTATATGGGGCAGAGTGTTGGGCGGTTAAGAAGACTCATGTGCGTCGTCTGCATGTGGCAGAGATGCGGATGTTACGATGGATGTGTGGGAAGACAAGGTTGGATAGCATTTTGAACGAAGTTATCCGACGTCAGGTAGGCATGGCACCAGTGAAAGATAAGTTGCGGGAAGCGAGGTTGAGATGGTTTGGCCATGTGAGACGACGGGATGCTGACGCCCCTGTATGGAGATGCGAGAGGATTACGGTTATCGGGGGAAGTAGGGGAAGGGGTAGACCTAGGAAGAATTGGAAGGAGGTGATTAGGCAGGATTTAGGACTTCTCAACCTGACGTAGGAAATGGCCTTAGATAGGAACCTTTGGAAAACTAGGATTAGAGTAGCGGGATAGGAGCTCGGTGTTGTAGAGGTTGTTTTGTAGTGTGTTGTATTTGTTTGGAATCTTTTGTTATTGCTTGTACTTGTTGCTTGAACTTGGTGCTCTATCTGTGTTATATTGTGTTCCCTTCCATATTTTTGTGCAGGTGGAGCCGGGGGTCTCTTGGAAACAGCCTCCCTACTTCCAAGTAGGGGCAAGGTCTGTGTACACATACCCTCCCCAGACCCTACTGTTGTGGGATTCATCTGGGTTGTTGTTGTTGTTGTATGCAAAGTTTCTTGTTACGTGCCTTTGATATTTATAAATTTTGTTTCTGTTTTGTTATCAAATGGGATCTAACAGGAACGAACTCTGTTTTTTACAGCAATAATATTGCATACATCTTGACCTCCAAACCCCAACGGAGTTCGGGATATTATATTAGGTCTTTTGTTGTATCAAATCTCTAAGAACACCTTTGTGATATATGCTTTATTATATTTATTCATTATGAAAATAAGTTCTTATCAAAAGTCTTAACATTTTCGTAAGTGTTAAAAATAAAAAACATGATTAAAACTCACATTTGCAACAATTTCCATTTATTTTTGGGAATTGAAACATAAACACTAGTGTCAAAAACATATTTCGTTGTTTATGTTTTCAAAATCAAAACACTAAAAAGTGAAAAACATTGCCTAATGATATCCGGCATTAGTTTTGATGGGAAATCCCCCCCCCCCAATACAAAAATTTGAAATGGATTTTATAATCTCAAGACTTGTGTATAATTTGTGCAAACAGATGGCTGCAGTTGCTGCATTGTGCGTGCAATATGAAGCCGATTTCCGGCCAAACATGAGCATTGTGGTCAAAGCTCTTCAGCCTCTATTGAATCCTCGATCCGGGCCTTCCACTGAACCACCACCAAACAAGATGTGAATCCTCTTCCTTCTCTATATCCCCCTGCTGACCAAAAGCTTCTCCCCCTCCCCCGTTTATTATCATACTTCGAATATAAGAATGATTCAATCTGGTTGTGTCATTTGTGTCTGGTTTTTGCCATTTTGATGCATATAGTCGTTATGTAGATGCACAGACCAAAACTGCATCGCCGTCATTCCTCTTAGATTGTGAGTATTGTGTATCTATCTTATATCAACAAACCAGTGAAGTTTGTATGAACTGAGAGCATCAAACCTTAATTCAGTAAATCATCTCTCCTAATCATTCTTTCTTGGAAAACATTTCAAGACCACATCAATAGCTATGTGGGTGTTTGGTTGGGGGTTTAGGTAATCTCACCCCTATTTTCTTGGTAATGTGATAGAGATTGTGTGTGATTATTATATTGCTTATTGCTACTTACGTGGGACTATATTAGGTTGTTTTACTGGAGGTTTAAAATTTGTAAAGTACTTTTTTAATTGTTAGTTTTATTTTCGGGGTTGAATGTTTAACAAATGCAGGGTAATACTCTATTTGTCTCGCGATAATGTTCTACTCTGTATATTATTATTCACATGGTAAATTATAATCATTTTCTTTACTTATTTTCATTGATCATTTAAAATAGTCTTAACAATATTTGTTATGTAAAATTTTTGAAGCAATCTGTAATTAAATACTCCGTATGTAAGTTGGAGTATTTATTAATGAAAAAAATCACACCCATATGCTCAAGTTTGATTGATTTTACAATATTACTTTTAGGTAGGGGTGGGCACGAGTCGGGATGATTTGAATTTTATACTGTTTTGCGTTTTGTCTCGTTTTTTAAACGGTTTGGGTCACAAATTTATTCTTCTTTGTCTTTTAATATTCGGGATCGAGATAAAACATAACAGGTTTCGGTTGTCTTACTTTGTAATTATTCGAAATTAGATATAAAAATATAAAATACATAAGGGAGAGGTAATCCACTTTGACTTGCAAAGTAATGAAAAAAGATATTTTTATTTAGAATATTTTTAAAAAGCCAAAACAATAAGGAAAAATGTTACAACATACCTCAAAACTTAAGACTATAAGTTTCATAAAAATTATGAGCTACAAATTGGGATGAGTCGGGTTAGAACGGTTTGGATTTTGACGTGTTCCGATCCTAATCCATCTTTTTTTTAGAATATTCGAATATAGATATTTTTATACCTATTTTGGGGAAAACAAAAATAGTGATACTTTTTTGTGTTATATCATTATATAAATACGAAGTAAATAAATAGATATATACGGGACAACAGAAAGGAACGAAACAAAAGTTTGAGACGAGACCATGATATTTTAGGTCAGAACAACGATTTTGGAATTCTTACCCACTCCTGCTTTTATGTAATCAAGAGATTTTACATTGCAATTCTAGTCTGACTAAACCAAGTTCAGAATTAATTATGTGAAATTACTTTGGTTGACATAAAAGTTGAAATAATTAGTCGGTTTATTTAAAGTACGTTGAAGCTCTCAGATTGAGTTGCTTTCAAGTTAGCAAAGAGGAGGAAGAAGAAAGACGCTTTCACTAGGGTTCAATTACAATTCTTTTATTAAGTTATTAGGAAAAAAGATTAAATGACATCTAATTTAATTTAAGTACTTTAGATGTGTTTTCAAGCCATTATTTTAATGTCGTGCTAGCCAATATAATTCTAGGTAATTAAGCAAACTAGAGTGGAGTAGCGACGTAAAACCCTTTGATTTCTCAGAGTATTGACATACAAAAGAGAATATGAAAGTATTGATATGATCTTTTCCTTTAATAATTCTACACCAATCTTTATATAGATTTAACTACAAATAACTTTAGTCAAACATCATAATCTGAAACTGGAACAATATTATGAGATAGATCTCTTGAAATGTATATTAGCCAAAAATATTTTATAAACATGTAAAAGGTTTTTAATATTACGGTCATATTTTATATTTTAATTTATTTTACAATTTGTCAAAATAAAAACTCTATGCATTCTAAGTAGTCGAGACAAAGCGGAGGATGCAATCCGAAACAAATATGAAATGCCCTTTTCCAAAGGTTGATGAATGAGAATTGTGACGTGAGATTTACGCAAACTAAGATATGCACACTCATGGATAAAAGGACCAAATACAAATGAATGAACAAACAGCTACACAAATGGTTTGTAGAGTTAAAATGTTCGCCGGATTCTGCATCCCGAAAAAATTACCTGAAGTCGCTACCTGGCTTTAGATACAACAACAACCGCCTAGCTGGAGCCGGCGGGGCCAATCCTGGAATGTCCCGTATGTCTTTGTTGTTAGGATTCACAATCTGACAAATCATTAGGAGCTTGTTTAGCACTCATTAACATATCCCAAAATTTAAAACCCAATACTTCAACTGAACTTTGATGAAGTCGAGATGTGCAGATTGTGTTCATTGATCATATTTGCTTCCCTTTTTCGTTAAATTTGTCCTTCGATGAAAGTGTATGCAAATTGAGGTATTATGAAGTTTCGAGTGTATTTTAGAGTAAGTTGGTGAGTGACAAGCTATAGAAATTAGATACTAACTCGGCCTTTCGTATATAAAAGGTGTTGATTAACTTCGCACTTCACTGTATTCTTTTGAATTGTGTGACTTGTTCAATGAGAACATCCATAAATAGGAATAGAGGGAGTATAATATTATTATACCCTTAGGAGTAAGAATTGAGTTTTTGATAAATTGAATTGCGGGTGATTAGATAAAATTAAGTTTAAAATGATGGGTATTAGCAGAAATCTTGGATAATGTGCATAACCCAAGGTAATAGGGTAGCTTCCAATTCTATAAAAATGTGGATTCTTATGAAGGAGAGAATTCCCAGGTATCCTGAATACAAATATGTGCATCGCACCCAATCCCAGGAATTCCCTTATTCTTGGGAATCTGAAAAATCAATCGAAATGAGACCAATTTTTATCAGAAAAACATTCTTCTATCACAACCAAAGAATCCCAATACGAAGCATGATTTTGTCTGCTTAGCCACACGATTACTATGTATAGCATTAATGTGTTTTTTAAAGACAGGATAGAGATTATAGAGGAATTACCTTCACAACAATTATTGCAATTACACCACAGACAATGAGGAGAAGGAAAAACATGATGCATTTATCAGTAGCCACCTGAAAAATAAACAAACCCCGGTTACAAAAAAGGGACTATGGGATGAATGATCGAAGCTACGCCTTAAGGAATTCCTGTTTACAAACCTGCCTGCCAATCTCTTTCACAAGCTGAGATGCTTTTTTAATGGAGAAATGAATTGTGTCGAGCTCATTAACAATGCGTCCCATTTGTTCGGTCTAACATATTGATAAAAAAAATTAGATCTGGATGCTCAAAGGGTTCTTTAAAATTGATAGAAATTGGAATACTAACTTGGCCTTTCAAGGTTGTAGCAGTTTGTGTTCCTATTTCAATTGTTTGGTGAACAACCTACATACATTGGTAAAGAGTTTAGATTATTACAAAATAATTCGTGTGCAATAAATATCAAGTACCAGAGTAGTAATTAAATACACACCTGTTTTGAACGTTCAATGGCCTGGTCAGTTTCATCCATTCTGTTCTTTCCATGATTGATTAGCTCCTGATTTGACATTTCTGGAGGACATATAAAGCTAATGGGTTATGCCTATTATCACTAAAGAAGTAACTAATGAGAGTCAACTGTTTCATCTATTCACCTGATGCCATTTTCACATTCTCATCTGCAGTAGGTTCACTAGCACCTGCTCCCATGTCAAAGAGTTCGAGTTTTTTATTTCCAAGAGTACTCATATACCTATACCGACACAATAAGTGCAGTAGGTTTAGGGAAAAAGAATGTCTGAGAAAAGAGAACACAACAATAAAGGGAAAAAAGATTTACGGCTTAGAGAGTGTAGACACGGAAAATGGACAGTTTTTCAGTAAAAAATGTGCGCTGGCCTAAGAGCTCAACATCAATTAAACATGAATATTTCTGAATGACACAGCCATCTGCATTAAGGAACTCACAGTCCTATGTGTTGCTTAGTTAGGTCTTAAAGAAGTACTAAAATCTTCACTATCTCCCTTATAATGAAGTTCCCAATTTCAGTTGTACCACGAAGTGAAGCTAACATGTCCGGCCATTGCTCAAGCTTGTCTATTAGATCTAATGATGAAATTTATCAACCACATCCCTAAGGAACATTACAAATCCAGCCCAATAAAAAAGTAGATATACTTGTTGCAAATTTAAAGACCCACCCTCCTTCCCATAATGTTCTTCATGTTTTCTATTTTGAGATGCTACAAAATATTCGTCCCCTTCTTTTTCTGGAAAGAACTGTGTGGTTGCTATTGTTTCACTTGATTTAAAGAAACCTCAACAGCACACTTTCAAGAAGCGAGCCAAGACAAGCCCAAAATAAAATTACACGGAGCCACGGAGGGAGTAAATTTAGCAAATTTGATAAATTGGTAAAGACAATAATTCAGAGTACAAAGAGCATGATCAAACTCAGTCTGGCAATAGTAAAAACAGGATTTTGGGTTTAGAGTATGATCATAGACCAGGATTTAGCACATACACCATCTATTATATGTAAATGGTAATGGTTGCTTCTGAAAGTTTACTTTCTGGATGAAAAAAATCTAGAAAGAAAAACTAACCAAAAGCATTTACTTACGTCTTCCTCAAGGCAACATATGAGTTAAGCTCTTTAATCTGAAAAGGTAAAAACCATTAGAGAGCAAAGATATAAGCGGGATTCACACCAAGCATGGTGCATTTAATCATAAAAATGTCCTGAAATTGGTCCAAAGAGTCCACAACCGAATGGACCAAAGACATTGAGCAAACAATACAGAATAACTGAACAATAAAAATTATCTGCCCTGTAACTTTGACTATTGCGTACCGCTTATGGATGCTCCACGTTACTCACCAATGAGTCCAATATATGGATAAAACAAGTAAACCACACCAAACAAAACCAAATGATCAACTCTTTTGATTATCAACGCCATATGTTCCAGTTAAAGCTATATCCCATAGCCCCATACTCATGACCTCTCGTCTAAGTGGCTATAACCATTTTAGAAAACTTTATTTTGATGAACATGACCTAAATTAGATTTCAAATCATTGAAGATTATCCAATTGATCTACCATTTAATTAAACAAATACTCTGTATATGGCATATGCACTCAACAGCAGTTTTGCATGTTAAGAAGAATATGATAGGAGCTGTGGAAAGAACGGTTTGAAGTTTAATACGGGGTAATTAATTCAGAGTGCCAGAATTTAACACAGTAATGAGCACTATTCAAACCAACAAGTCCTGCTACAAATTTCATCAAGTGTACCATTGATTGCTTGTCATCATTAAGTTGCTTGATGACATCAGGCGGATTATTACCCTCATCATCTTTTATTTCCCGATCAAACTCTTTGATTAACCTAAAAGAAGCATTGACAGTAAAATTATCAGATTGGCCAGTTCTAACATGCACTAAAAAAATAAGTAAATTTATAATCTTAAGAAAATATTTTTTCGCCAAGCAGAAATAAACTAACTACTCTGTAGTAATTACTGTTCAATAATAATGATCATTATAATTGTTATTATAATATTATTTGATAAATGGCTTTAAAGAGTTCAAACGGTTTTGCATGCCCAAAAAACATTGACTTGATTTCACCTAAAACATGTAATCTTTTGAGGAAAAAGGGGCTAATCTCTCAGTTAACAATTTAACATACCAAGCATTCAAATGCTTTGATTTCATTTCTTTACATCTTGAAGAAAATGCTTTAATTTTGTTTCTTTACATCTTGAACAAAAATACTCACGGAAGTAGTGCAGCAAACTCTATATTCACATAGGACAGGACAACAATTCAATAACATTCTCATGCCAGAGTTAAGACCACAATCAGATATGAAAAATATGTACCTTTTACATTCCTTCATCTTATCAGTCAGATCTTCAAGCTGTTTACTCTGTCTATTGGAGTCCTTAATTTTATCAAGCTTTTGAAATCCATTTCTGTGAAAAGTGAACAACGCACAAACCTTGTTAAGAGATTTGGACAAGAATAATAATTCTAGAAAGATATGCATGCAAAGGCATAGAGAAAGAAGCACCGCATCTCATTGTTAATAACAGATTATTACACTCATCTTCGATGAACGGTGAACCCAAGGATGCAGGTTAATTATTGGATTAGATGAAAAGTACCAAGAACAGTCACTACTTCCTATCACTGCTTATCATCAATGAATGCTTTAATACTAAACATTACTGTGCTACCCCCCCCCTTCCCGTTTTCCTAAGGTAACTCACTTTGCAGATGGATCAAGATAAAAAAGCGATGGGGAAGGATAAAAATTTTGGAAGGTGTATCTTGTCAAATGTCCATAAAACTTCGAGAACCATGTGCAGATATGTGCTGAAGATTGAAGAACATAAACATTAAGAAGTATTGTTGTCTACTAGTGAAGTATAACAAAAGCTTAATCTGCACCCTACAATAAATGATGGCAAGTTGCAACTCCAAAATGCTTAATGACAATCACGTTCACATTTCCTGACCAACTTTTATTGCTTCTCAATTAAAGAGTTATTTCGTACTATGTATTTTTCAGGAACTCATGAAAAGCAATGTGGGTCCATCTAGCTATCATAGTGCCACACCAACAGCACTGCAATGTATTATGTATGGCCTTATCCTTTGCAGAATCTATAAGTAACTTGTCAGCATTCTTTTATGTTTTCTTGAGGGGGGGTCAAGTTAGCCTCCCGGCCAGGACTGTCCTTTTAGACCTATGATAGATGATCTTAGGGATGCCAGCACTTAACATGGAAAGGTTTTCCATTTACTTATCTGCAGGATTATTTCCACCCATTGTTTGCTTTGAATTGAGTTCTTACCTTGAAATAATAGAACGAGAAAAGGTGTCAAAAACATTACTGAAGACTTCTTTTTTTGTTGCAAACCCCTTTCTCAAAACCTTTGCATACGATGCTAAATAAAGTGCTTAAACAATAAACAGATAAGTATTTTTTGTTCTTCTAAGTGGATAGAATGGAAAAGATAAGAGTATTATCTTTCCATGATCAGCACCTTGATAGTTGAATGGATTTAAAGGTACCTCCTTTCTTCTACTTCTTAAGTGAAGTTACTCCCTCCGTCCTAAAACTATCTTCCCACTTCCTCTTTTTCCTTGTCCTAAAACTATCTTCCCACTTCAAAAAAAGATAATAAAATGTCTATTATACCCTTGTTATCTTTGCTTCGTCCAACCTTCCCACCATTAACATTTACGTCTTCCCTGTCTTCCTTCTCTGGATTCTCTGCCTCTCTTCTACCTTCGCCGATTGACTGTCACTCCCTCTCTTAATCTATTGTGTTGATATGGATTCCACTGATTATTGTTATACATCTCGGATCTATTCCCTCCGCCTTTCATCCCTCCCTCAAAACCCTAGATCTGCGCAGTTATTTTTGTGGGAAAACTATCGGGTGGGCAAACTCTGCCGCTGCCTTCAATTAGAATCGACCCAGATCTGTTTTCCCGATTGCCTTTGTTTTTTGAGTTTTGCCTTGAATTCTGCCGCTGCTTCCTCAAGATCGACTCGTCAGTTAATAGGGTGAGTTCCTTTTTCTTCCATTTTTAATCCTTTTCTTCACTACAACGATGTAATCATGAATTAGTTTTCTTAGAATTAGGTGTTTTCTTAGAAATCTTGAATTGCAATAAATGTTTAAAAGGATATAAAATTAGTTTTTTTCACAGTGAGAAGGCCACCGCCAAGAAAACCGCCCCGCTGCCGTCGTCGTCCCAATCTTTAGTGCCGTCACTAATTGCCGGAAGGGGGGGCAGTTTTTTCAATTGGGTGGGTGTGGGCTTGTGTTTTCCAATTTTATAAGGAGGGGCATTTTTGGAAGGTCAAAGTCATATTTATCCCTTCCTTAAAAATGAACTTTAGTCAATGTGAGAAGATCAATATAGGACGGAGGGAGTATTATTTTTCATGATAAGATGAGAAAAGAATGTAATACAAGCAACTAAGAGACAAATACACAACAAATAATACTTACTAAAGCAACAAATCCCCTATACAGGAGTACCTATAATCCTATATCATACATCCAGATGTACGGTGTCTCCCGTACATTCGCATGAATACTCATTTTCGAATAACTAAATACTCATTTTCGAGCATAACTGAGTTTTAGAAAAATGAGTATCAGTTACTCAAAAATGAGTATTCAATTGCTCGAAAATGAGCATTCAGTTGCTTGAAAATGAGTATTCAGTTATTCGTAAATGAGTACTTGTCGCGGATGTACACGAAACACCATACAACCGGTTGTACTATATATACTATGCCTATACAGTCACCTATAAATTATTGCACCACCCCTAAGTAAGTGATAACTCAAAATCCTCTTTGAAAGTTCGGCTGCACAGTTGCTGTTTCAGAGACTATTGTTACACAATAAGACATTGTCACTGTGGTTGAAGAAAATGTGAAATCTGTAGCTTAGTAACTCGACAGATAATGATCCAACATTTGCAATCAAATATTCAAAGAGCATCTTTGCAGATACAAATTGGCACTCGGGAAACAAATGCAAGCAAAAGCTAAAAGGGGATAAGAGACTCACGCTAGGGCTCGGAAATTGTCCCGAATTTCTCCATGAAGCTGCTCCATTTGAGGATTCATTTTCAATTTCGAGTCCCCCATGATCTCTATCGCTGTATCGTCTTGTTAACCGCCGTTTGTAGATCCACTGCCGGAGAAGGAACCTCACCGGCAGAGAAAACCCCGATTCGCTTCACACCTTAGCAGATCAAGAAATTGTATCGTTTCCGCATGCTAAGTTATTCGCGGCCTTTACACTTGCACTGTTGATGAAACGTGTTTACTGGGTTTTTGAATTGGGATGAAAAACACAGAAAATACAGGTCTTCAAAGAGGGGAAAGACAGCCTCACATTCCGTGTGGTGCACAGGTCCGGAGCCTTCTTGAGTAGTAGTACCGCCTGCCAATCCATCTTTTTTTATTTAAACTCTTCCCTTTAAATTTAATTCTTTTTGTTGTACTACACGTCTACACTACTACCTTCCTATAGGTTGAGTTCTGTTCATCTGATTTTATCTGATTTTTTAAAGATTTGATCTGATCTGATTATACTTACAATTAAAGTTATTTTTGATATAGTCTGATCTGATCATAATAAGAATTAGTAATAAGCCAAAAAAATAAATTGAGTGGAACGCTTATTAAAAAAAACTTGATGAATTTGAAATTTGAACAGACCGCTGCCTAAGGCAAACATGATAAATCTGAATAGTCAACTTTTTATAGTCAAACATGATGAATTTGAAGTTTAATTAAATAAATTTGTAATGTACATAAGTATAAAATTAATTTTATACGGAGTAATAAATATCCTATTGAGAACTTTTCATAATTTTATTTCATTATAGTAATATATTGAGAGTAATAGAAGTTCAAAATTTGTCTAAATTGACTCGAACTAGTCAAACTAGAAAAATATATTGGGACAAAAGTATTAGTTCCTAAAAAAGGCATACATTCAAATGTTTTACTTAAATTTTGAATGTTTCAATTTGTCTTGTTTTATTAAGTGACATGTCTAATTAATTTTAGCTCTATATATTTGAGGTGTATAAAACTTATTTACTTGTTCTAAGTACTTACGTTTTATTCAATTCAAGTATTTTGAAATACTTTGAAATAACTTTAATCAGAAAGCTTGTTTCACGTGATAATGTTAGAATAAGTGTCCTTCACTAGAGGGGGTGAATAGTGAGATACAGAATGTTTATAAACTTTCGTGGAAAAAAAATCACAGGGATAAAGTAAAGAGCGCAATTAAAAAGCGTAAGGAAAGAACACACTCATATACACTGGTTCACCACAAAGTGTGGCTACGTCTAATCTCCCGAGAGACTCTCTCGAGCTACACTACTTCCGTTAAGCTTAAGGGTGTTTAACAAACTGTTACAACCTGAGAACTCGAGTTCTACGAGCCTCAATACACTTGCTTGGAGATACCGCACTCCAAGACTTCAACCCGAAAGAATATACTCTTCCTTCGTACAACCAAGGGAACAAACCTTCCTAAAAGTTTACAACACGTAACCACTCAAAAACAAAAAAACTCTTTCAAAGAGTAGAATATGAGTAAACTAATTAAGATCAAAAGCACACTCAATTCCTCAAGAAATAGCTCTAAAAAGCTATGTAAAAAGTTTATGGAATGATGCAATGAAAAGCTATGGAATGTGTGAGGAATGATTGTGAAAACTAGACCGAAGAGACCCTTTTTATAACAAAAAACAAGGTGCAATGGTTGGGAAAAGATTGGGGTTGATTGAAACGATTTGTAGAAATCAAATTAAAGGCGGATCTATTGAAATCTAGCCTAACATCGATGTTCATATAGTGAACATTGTTGTTTTGGCTTTGACTTTCCTTTAGAAATTGCTAACGGTCATGAAAACATCGATGTTTTGAAGGCTACATCGATGTTGTGGTTGTTGACTATCAAAATAGAGAGATTTTGTCTTAAAAACCCCAACGTTCATTTGAAAACATCGATATTCACCAATGAACATCATTGTTCAAAAACCTACTTCCAAAAATTGACGTGAGCCAACCTAGTCAAACACATGGATGTTCAAAATCCAACATCGATGTTTTGAATTCTACCGCCATTGCAAAATAGCACTATTGAGTAGGCCAACATCGCTGTTTGGTTTGGACGCCAGAACCATGGTTTGGCACCCAACGCCGAAGACCAATGTTAAAAATCAACGCACAAGTATAAAACCTTAAAAACCACCTCATTAAGGTAAAAACCACGGCTATAGAAGTTTATGCCGTTTCACATGGTTTTTGTCAAGAGACCAAAAACGAAAAGTGATTTTCAACATGTTTTTGTTGGAGAGCTATTTGGATATGCCCAGAAGTAAAAATCAATCACAAAATATTAAAAGCCTTTTGGTTGATTCGGACGCCAAAAACCTACACCAATAACCAACGCCAAATGCCAATAACTAATGTCGAAAACTGAAGGTTATGGTTTTTGAAAACTAATCATTTGAAAAACCTTTAAATGTGTTCAGAAGCAAAAACCAAAGAAAAAACCCAAAAACCATTTGGCTAAAATCAATGCCAATAACCAACACCGAAAATCGAACGCCGATAGCCGATGATTATGATTTTGGTTGGGCAAGGACCCTGGGGTTTTGGAAACTTAAAACCATTTTTGAAAATACTAGTTTGATGCATGAAAAGTTATTTTGTTTTGAGCCAAGACTTAGAGGAACTAAATAATGGGCTTGTTGCAACAAAAAATTAAGTCTTTCGACAACGTCTTCAAAATGTCAATGTCGTCATCTTTAGAAACTTGAATGCCTTTCTTGTGCTTTTTGTTCCTTCAAACGAATTTTTCTATGCCTTTCTTGAGACAACCTTTCAGAGTTTTGGAGTTGGTGAGAACTCAACAGATTTAGTTGATCATTTAACGAAAAGATTAAGTAGAAATCTTGTGCAGAGATCAACTATGGGGATTAGATTGAATGCAATGTGGAAAATCTTAACATCTAGAGATTGGAACACATTAAAAATATGACATCAGATGCTGAATTCAATGTGGAAAATCTTAACATCTAGAGATTGGAATACATTAAAAATATCATCCCAAGTTATGTGATCAGACTTGTAAGATTAAGAGGTTGAGGTACGTCTTGTTAATAGTTCCTTTGAAAAGTTGTATATGCAAGTGCACGAATAAAAGAGCTATCTATATGAGCATGAAGTTTAATCGCTTCAAGAAGTAGGGACTTTGCTTTGATATGCTTATGAAGAATTAGGACTCAAGGCTAATAAATAATAGTGTCAAGTTAAAACATTTAAGTATGTAACCTTTTGTGTATACCATCTCCATGTATCCAAAATGAATATTAAGGGTTCAATCCTTAGAGATACCTTGATATTTGAATATTTGAAATGTGTATTATATTAAGATGAAATTCAATCATCACAATATTTCATTTATGCATAAGTTTGTTGTTTGTTATGAATTTGTTTAGCTAATCAATGATTACACTAAAATGGGGGAGAAATGTTATATATTTTAGTATAATTGGAATAACTATTTGACAAATGCTATTATAATAATCATAAAAGAAGTTTGATAGTGCGGAGTGCACGCTTCGTTGAGTTTGTTATGATAAAAGTCCCGTTTTAACAGGAGTTCCAAAGGGGCAGCGCCCCCTTGGCAAGGGTTCCAATGAAGCAACGCCCCCGAGTAGGGTTCAAGGGGCGGCAGCCCTTGCAGGGTCCAAGGGGCAGAGCCTGTGTAATTTTTTATTTTGGACAAAGTGATGTGTTAAAAATTCACTTGAATTTTTAATTTTTGAAATTCAGGTATAAAGAATTTCCGAAAACGCGTCTCCTAATTTTCGCGCGACTAGACACAAACTTTTGAAAAGAGACGCGACCGCATCTCTTCTTTCTCTCCGCTTCTATAAGAATTCGGCAAAGTCTTGGTCAAAGAAATAGGAGTTCAAAGGTTTATCACAATTCAAACTTGTTTTTTATCAATAATTTGAATTTTATTCGATTGATTTTTGAATTGAATGCCTAAAACAATCAATCTGAAACTGTTATCACAGTTCTCAAATTAATTTGTGTTGTCAACAATTTTCCAACATAGCAAGGTGTACAAAAAATTAAGACCAAAGTATGATATGAAAAGGAGGGCTTAGACGAAAATATGATAATTGTAGGGATTAGTACATTTTTATGGATAGAATCTGAGTCAATGCGCTGTTGATTGCGGAAGCGGAATTGAAAGACCTGGCGGCGGCGCTTTCCCTTCTCTCCCCCCGCCGTCGCAACGGCGCTCTCTTCTCCACTTGTATTTTACAGAGGCCTCACATTTCACTCCGACGGTGCTTTAGAATTCCACTGGCGCGACATTTATGGCGGCGAAGAAGGCGTCGGAATCGGTGATCAGCAAGGGGTTGATGGATGAGGTGCAGCGATGGGGCGCCATGAAGCAGACGGGGGTCAGCCTGAGGTACATGACGGAGTTCGGGTCGAGACCTACCGACCGGAATTTGCTGATCTCATCCCAATTCCTCCACAAAGAGCTCCCTATTCGGATTGCCCGGCGTGCTATCGACCTCCAAACCCTTCCCCACGGCCTCTCTCTCAAACCCGCCGTTCTCAAGGTTTGAAATCGCGCCGCGCCCTTTCTGGCTTTAGGTTATCTGTTTGCCATTAATGTACAGTAATTTATATATTGCTCTGATTGCTGTCAGTGTGGTCATATTCATATATTACCCATATGGATATGTCCCACCTTCTCTCCAGTCTCTGTTATATCAATAAAATCTTGTCATTCTTGTTTGGGTAAAATTTTTAGTTTGCTTCATCTTTCTCCAGTAATGGCTGCCTTTTGCCCTTCACAGTATTTTGTTTTATAAAATTACTCTAGTAAATACTGTAGGTTTCTTATAGCATCCTTGTCAAACGAATCTGCTCTTACATTGCCGAAGACCAATCGGGCATTCTAATGCTCCCCGAAGCCTAACTTTAGCCATTTTTGTCTTCTCTTTTTTTCTTGTGTCTTTGGTAGGTAAGAGATTGGTATTTGGAGTCTTTTCGAGACCTTAGATCCTTCCCTGGCATAAAGGATAAAAACGATGAGTGGGAATTCACGCAAATGATCAAGATGATCAAGGTGAGGCACAACAACGTTGTTCCAATGATGGCTTTGGGTGTTCAACAACTTAAGAAAGATCTTAATCCTAAGGTTGTGTATGAGGATCTAAACGAAATTCACCAGTTCCTGGACCGCTTCTACATGTCAAGAATTGGGATCCGTATGCTTATTGGTTAGTTTAATACTTAAAACAAAAACTGAATACTCGTAAGAAATATTTGCACTAAATAGCACTAAAACTTAAGTCATTTCCCTAAATAGCACTTAAATTGTTTTATTCCTTAAATAGCACTTAATAATGTCCATAATGTCCAGTGATGGCAAATATTAA